CAGCCGCTGCAGGGCGCCGGGTGGGGTCGGGGTGGGGGTCAGCGAGCGAGGGAGGCGACCCCACCCTCCCTCTTCCCGCTGGGGCCCGCTTGGCTCCAGGGCCCCCCAAAAAGGCACCACCCCTTAACCTTTGTCTCTTTCTTTTTTATAAAGACCCCCCATATCTCTAGTTTTGGCCTCCCCCAAACTCTCTTGCCTTGGAGATCCCCATCCCTGCCTTTAAGTAAAGGGGGTCGAGGGGGGGTTGTCTTGAAAAGAATTAGTCCCCCCTCACTTTGAAGCAGCCTTCCCATAGATGGGGGAAAGAATGGGGGGGCTAGGGATATTTGAAAGAGGGGGTTGCCCTATTGATGGTGGGCAGGTGGGACCTGGGAGTGTTGCTGTCTGGGGATCCCGCCTAAGGTCGGATCCCTTCAGAAACCCACAGAAAACGGGGGGAAAGCAACAGAAATGTGGCACGCATCTTCTCGGCTGGGGCGAAGAAGGGCCCCCTCCATTTGGGAAGCCTCTGCGTGGGCTGGAGCTGCTCTTCTGGCTTGCGAGGGGTGTGGTTCTTCTACAGATGTGGTGGACTGGACGTGTTCGGACAACCTCGGCGGGGTGCTTGCTTGTTAACTCAACCCCAGGGGGATGGAGGGGGGTTTGGAGACCATTTTCCCTTGGTGGGAAATAGTCTTAAATCCAGCATGCGGTCTCCCCATGCTTATTGGAGGGGCAGCTGGGGTTCCTTGACAAGAACGTTGTGTCTATTAAGGCAGGCAAAAAACCCCTCCTTCCTTTGCAAGACACAACGCGAGTTGCAGGGTGTTCGGACTAGGCGTGCATTTACAGTGGTCTCCCTCTGATGATCCGGTGAAATTACTATGGGGCATTGCATGGTCCCACTGACAAGCAGTTCCTTAAACTGAAGGGCCTTTGTGCTGAAATGTTACCGAGATGTTCTGACTTGCCTAAAGCTACTTCTGACCAACTTAGGCAGCTGGAGCTACTTGTTCAGCTCAAGCGGATTTGCTTGTTCCAAGTAAGTGTGCTTGGCCTTTTGCACAAGAAACCCAAAGTGTGGTACGGGAGTGCCTTTTCCGATGGCCATGCTTTCTTAAAAGGCAGGCGCTTTGGCGAGCTGTAGCACGCCGTCAGATAAAAATGCCCTTTTTCATGGGTTTGTTACTGTAACAGACAAACTGGGTTTTGAAGCTTTGGTAGGGCCAATGAGGCCCGCTTTTCTTAAGGAAGAGCTTGTTCAGGTGTGTTGGGGTGAGATTATATGAAGCCAACCAATTTCTAAGTAAAAGGGGGTTCTGAGAGCATAGTTTCATTAAAACTCTTATTTTATAGACACATGCCTGCCTTCAGAGATCCAGCCCCCCACCCCGGGGTGAACATTCTAATAAATGCAGAAGTGGCCTTTCCTTTTCTGTCCCATTGCAAGAAGGATGTTTATCTCTCCTTTACATGAAAGCTAGAGTAACAGCGTCCTTTGATTCTTTTACATTTGTTGATGGAGGGAGTTGAAAATGACTCATAGCTGTTCTGATGGCAGACCCGTAAGCCAGGCCGCCCCCCCCCCCCGGGTCCTGCCTCCTTGGCCAATATTTTCCTGCTAACAAGCATGCCTCCAGTGGCTTTCTAATATCCCTAGTGTTGTGTTATCAGCATTTTTGGTTTCTGAGAAAGCTTGTCGCTCGCATCTCACGGGTGGCATTTCCTTTACTCACAACAGGTTTGTGACTGTTTATTAGATAACGCTTCATTGATGATCAGTTTCAATAGTGAAATGCTAATTTTGCTGTTGATTTTTTTTTTTTTAATGTCCATTCAGTTTGAATTCAAGACCTCGTTTCTTGTTTTTCCTCCACCCTCTGGGGGAGGGCTTTTAACTAAAGTACATATTTCAAATAGCTTTTTGAAAGCCGTGAGAAATAATCTGAGCCAGACTTTAGCTGAAATCCATTTCAGTGCAAGGCCTCCTCCCTCAGAAAATAAAAACAAAAGCTTTGACATTAGGACTCTAATGTTTCCTCCTTGCACGTTGGAAAAAATAATGTATTTGCAGTTTTTTTTTTAACCTTTACATTTCTTCCAAGCTTTCCAATACAGTACCTTAATTAAAAAACATTGACAAGCCATTTAGTAGCATCATGAATGTTCCCTAGATGACCTTGGGCATTGCTGTCATGACTTTTTTTCATGCAAACATAAACCGATGATTTGAATTGGATGTAGATATGCAGAGCAGACGTATCCTTTGTGAAGAATGTGCACATGATTTCTGCAGTCAAAAATTATCCTTATTATGAGATGGTCTTTATAAATGGAAGGGGGGGGGACAAAATAAACCGATATTCTGCTGCAGAGAGAATATCGGTTTAAGAGCAGAAGGAGTTATTACAGCCATTTCAATGCCATGTTTACTTTGGGAATTAAAAATGCTTTTTTTTGGAGGGGTGGGGTCTAAAGCAGCAGTTGTTGGAAGGGGTTTTTCCTCCCTCCAAACAGTTGAATGTTGCAGTTGGGACTCAATACCTTTCTGCAGCCCCTGCAGTTGATAATCTGTGTAACAGCTGATTGTAACAGCTCCACCTAGTTCACATGGCTCTTGCACCAGAAAGTGTGTGGCACAATTTACTAAAGCAGGAGTTTAGTTCCTGCCGCAGAGGAAGTTACTGAACAGAATGTCTTCTCATTCCAGAATACTTAGCCATGTTATTTTTATAAGGCTGGGGCTTGGCATTTTGTTAATTTGCCAAAACGGCAAAGGGGGTTTTGCTTTTTCCCCAAGAAGAAATAATTGCGCAGTTCAGTATACAATACAGCAAGTGGGACGGTAGGCAATCTGCCGATAATTGCTTTTATGTAAAGCAAGTAAAATGCTTCAAGACAAACAAAATGCCACAAATATTTTTGAAACAGATGGCTGCTATTGCAATTTGAATAACTTTGTCTGGAAGTCACGTCACGGACCATACTCCCGAGTACATATATATGGGATTGCTGGTTAAATTTTATGTCTTTGCTTTTAGGGAATATTGCTCAGTATTAGCATGTATTTGTAGGTGTTCTCGATAAATGGAAACCAGCATTTTTTTCTCTTTGTTTCTTTCTGCTAGGTATAAAAATGTATTTATTATAGTCATGTGTATTTTCTGATCAATTTTCTTGAAAGA